CAATTATTGTTTATAAGATGGCAGTTTATACACACTTCAATATAGTTTACAAATTGTGAGCACACTATCAGTGGTCAGCAAACATTGTTGGTCTCTGTCTTAAAGTGGCTAAAGTTTCACACTGCAGACCTATGCTAATTCACACTCAGAAAGCTCATTACTTTGTAGTCACACCTGAACATAATTTCTAACTGCGCCACGGACTAATTCCTACCTGCATCATAGGTTTCAAAGGCCTTGCTGAGGCCCATATCTGAGGCCTAGGCTGGGGGTAGCGCAACCTTCACTCTAAATATCAATCATGTCCTCTCTCTCTCTCCGAAATCCTGCTACAATTCCTCCTTTTTCTTTTTGAGCTACCCAGATGGACTTAAGGGCGTGGTTAGTCATTTTCTGCATGCAGTGTAATAAACAAGGTATAAAGATAAAAAGGTATAAAATAATTATAATAATAAGAAAAAGTACAATACCAAAATGAACTAAATCTTTGACCCAACCAGCAAAACCTAAAGAATTGAGTCAGTTAGCAGAGTGTCTACAACGACAAGTTTCATGTTGTCCTTCAGTTGCGTTAGCTGTTTGTAAATTGATTCAGAGTGGTCAGAAAAATTCATGCAACACATGCCTTCAAAGTTCTTCACACCCATGTCCTTGAGCTAAAAGAAGGAAGTCAATGGTGGCTCTGTTTTGAAGAACTGCATGACGGGTGCTATCTACATCCATGGCAAGCTCACTTAACATTTTAGATGTAATATTAATTTGCTTCCCTGTCCAGCAGGCCAGGGTTTTCAATTGTGTGAGAGCTTGCTTTGAAGCAACTCCTTGGGAGAAAATTGAGGCTAGCATTACAGATGTGCGCCCCCATAATGATACTTGATCCATACAGTTGGGGTCTGACTGGAGAACACTCCGTTTGGCTCGTTAAGGCTTCTGGGGCAATCCAAGAACCTGATGAATGGTAGGGGCAAACAGTGTTAATTTACCAATGTAACATGGGCCTCCCATAGCTTTTTGAGGTACCGCAGACCAGGCTCGGTCTCCACAAATTAGGAAAATTCCTGGTGGCAGTTTTCTTGGGGCAGTTTTTGGTGGTATCACGGATTGTGTCCAATTGTTACAATATTCTGAATAATTATAATACAATGGAGATCTGGGAGACAACCAAGTGTTGTCATCTGTTGGCTGTCTTTATTTTTGGGTTGGTTTTGTAGCATGAGGTCTAAATATCAAACAGTAATTTCCTGAGACAGAACCCAAAAGATCAAATTCTTGAGGTTTGACATTAACAATTTTAAGATTTTGCACGACTGCAACAGCTTGTGCTCCCAAAACACTTTTTGGATGTATTTTGGCCAGAGTCCAAGTTTTGAACTCTGCGATAGAACTCAGTGGAACTCCAATTAAACAAGTACGAAAAGAATTGGATAGTCTGATTAACAACAGGCAGAATGAATCTTGCCCAGTTTGTTTGGCCCAAGTGATCTACACGCTTTGTCTTTTGTCAATGTCAAGCATACCAAATACCTTAGTTACTAAAACACTACTTAATAGAAACACTCTGACCCACCACATATTTCTCACGTTCTTGATTGCCCTGTTTACCATGAAAGGAACAAACTTAATTCTAAATAGAAGCTATAACTTATGATAGACTTAATTGCCACTGTGCCTTCCCAAGTCTCAGCTAGCACTAGTGCCTTTGCCAGGATTCAAACACAGGCTGCCAGCGTGGCAGACGGGAATTCTACTGCTGAGCCACTAGGGCAGTTGCTAGGTTACTAAGTCTCAGCTAGGTCAGTACCTTTAGCACTGCAGCAGCAAAGGCCACTCTCATGTGCTGCGGGGGGCAGGAGGTATGGCCTGTGGGAAGATGAAGCCACCAGACTGAAAGACACGCAGAGCGACTCTGACAAAAGCAAGGAGCCATCCTTCTGGGGGCATCAGAGTTCCGAGTTTATTGGCTCGAATAAGATAAGCACAAAAAGGCAATGGGCACCATGTGCCTGGCTTCTTAAAGGGGGGTGGTAACAGGGGGAGGAAACAGCAGCCAACCAATGGGATAACACCTGGGGGTGGTAACAGGGGTGACACGCAGGGGAAACTTCCAATGAGGTAGGAGGGAGGGAGGGGACCCCGGAGACCAGCTTATCACTCGAGGCCCTGGATGGAACTTTCTAGGTGGAAGGGAGAGATCTCTGAGAGACAGACAGGCTCCAGGGTGGAGTTGGGGGGAATAACGCAGCAGGAATGCAATGAACTGGGTGGAGGGAGGAATGACAGGCAGACGGAGGGAGGAGAAGAAGGGAGGCTGGACCATTTTACAAAAAGAGGAGGAGAGGGAGCAATCATAACTGGGGAGAAACTTAAAACACACCCCAACACTTAATGTTATGCTTATGATAATCTAACTTATTTTCCTGTGCTCTACAAAGTTAATTTTCATCAGAACTAGATTTGTCACGGGATGTTCCAGGTAAATTGTTGTCATCAACGTTGTTATCACTGTTGTCTGGTATCTCTGCCTGTGGACACGCTCGTGTAAATCTGTTCAGCATCCAAACTGGACGAGAACCTGTTGAGACACACATATAACCTCTACCATTAAACAACACAGGACTTGGGCCTTGTCATTCACCTGTTCGCATGTCCTCGTGATAAACATAAAGTCCTGGAATTGCTTGTGGTCTTCCCTCTTTTTCTTTTCCCATTGAAAAACAGTGACAACGGCAAATGTTCAATGCAACGAGCACTCAAACCATGTTGTAATTTTTCTGAAACTCGAATCAAAGCTCTTTGTTTTATGATTGCATAGGGTTTTGGGGTTTTTGGGTTTTTTTGTTTGGTTTTTTTTGTTTGTTTGTTTGTTTTTTTTTAATCTCTATCTTCTTACTCTGAACTGCCATGGTCTGCCTAGTACAGAAGCCATAGCAATCCAGGCTTGAGCCTGGGCAGCTCCCACATTATATACTCAAAACTATGTATACTATGTTTACAGTTCCCATACCAATCTATGTTGGACAGTGTGACCCTATCCTAAACTAATAGAAAAGTGTCACCATCACAGCAAGTCATGGAGGACAAGAAGAACAAGAAGGCCATGGCACACCTAAATCTCTCCATCTCGTCCTCTGAACCCCTTATCTTAAAAAACCCAAAATTCTATTTTTCCACCCTGTGTTAGTTCAAATATCACACTACTAAAACCCTTGTGACTTGTAATTCCTCATCCAGAGTCAACAGCTTTCCACAGGCTAAAATTGAAGCCACAGATGTTTTTGACTTCTTGCCAGAGTCTCCGGACCCCTGCCAGGGTCTCCAGACAGCCAGGGCAGCCGGAGGCATGTCCTGGACTCTGACATCTCCCTCTCCTCTTTGCACCAAAAATACCTCTTTGGCAGCCCTGTTCATGGCTCGCCGCATGCATTGAAAAAGGCATGGCAAAATGAACAGAAGAATCACAAGCCCTACGAAAATCAATCATAACCCAGTAACTAAATTCTATAACATCACTAATTCCCACATCCATGAACAAAACTAAAATCCATGATCTTTTGTGGGTGAAACACAAATCTTTGCACAGTCCACATCTTCTGAGCATCTTCTGCTCTGCTTGTGGAGAGATCAGAGCTTTCTTGCAGCTGATAAAGTTCCACATTCTTCACTGAAATCCATCTAGACTCTGCACCTCTTAAAACACGAAAAAACCCAACATCCCCACAGGGACTGGAAGGTTTTCTCTCAATTCTGTTCTCTAAAATTGCATGAAGAAATGGAGATAACAACATCTTTGTTATAAACATGAGAAAAACATCAAAAACAAAAAACCGCATGTGGTAAAGAAACTAACAACAAATAAAAATCAACTAGACAATATACAATCAATATTACATGTAAAATCACACAATCATCAAACACTACAACACTGAATTGTTGTCCCAGAGTCTGCAACAGCTGACAAACCTTAAAACAACAGAGATTTGGAGAAAACATGTCCGGATCCATGCGCTTCCAAAACTCTCTTTCAGGCTCAGCTGTCCTATATGGTCAAATTGCCAAGTCAAAAGGACTTGAATACTTTTTGATGCAGAAAACATCTGGGTTAATCACTCCATCCAAGTAGAGCTAAAGCTTGGCCGTAGCCTGAACTCTAATTGGAGGATATAATTTAACACATTATAAAACAAAAGTCTTAGAAATAACAGTTATGAGTAAGAAACCTTATGATTAAAGACTTATCAAACCATCAAATAATTGAATATTTCCAAAATTTCCTTCAAGATAGAGATTCTTCAAACACAACAAACCTTTTCTTCAGAAATCTGAAAATTTGAAATCTGAAATTTTAAACCAAAATCTGGACAATGAAAGTGTGAAGGAAGTGTAGCTGCATAAAAGATTGGATAAAGAAAACATATGAGTAGTTAAAAAATAAAAAGCAGGATCCTGAAGAGACACGTCTTGTAAACAATCACACAAAGAGATAGTAAAACACATGAAAACTGACTGTAAATACTATAACAATACCTTAATACCTTAATAATAATTCTTATCACAAAAATCAGAGAACTCACATTATATGATCCACTTATCAACAAGAAATGTTTGAAATAGTTTAAGACAATCTTTTTAAAGCATTCATATAACATTAATAACAATCACTATGTATCTTAACATTAGCTATAAAAACTTTAAAATAATCACTATTTATGTTATTATCTATAAAAGCAAAAACAAAGATTACAAGCTCAACACTAACAATCAATCTGACTGACATTTCTGAAATGTTCTGTTTTGCAGAGACATTTTTGATAGCTGAATCATTACTGATACTTTTATCTTTATACAGTGATTTCCATCCATATCGTATTTGAGATAACATTGATTTGCATATTGTTCCCCCTTCTTTGCATCTTGGACAATGACTCGGTACTGCTGCACTTTTGTTATGCTTTCTTTCTCTTGCAAAAAATTGGAAAAACACTGTTGAAATTTTTGCTGTAATGTTGCAATCCTGCCACCGGTGGTGCTGCTGCCCTTGGTGTTGCCGCTGCCACGGCAACCAGGTCTGGGTGGTGCCGTGCAGATCTCCTCTGCCGTCTTGCCGCAGCGGCCGTGTCCAAACTCGGCCCCCCCTCGTGTGGGTTGCTACTGTCTCACAGCCGCGGCCACGTCCGGTTCCACCCCCCACGTGGGGAGCTCCGCTGCCATTGCTGGATGATGCGGGGCCACCCCCTAAGCTCGCGCGGTCCCTGCTGCTGCGTTTCCAGGGAGATGAAAGGGCGGCACCGCCTCGCTCCCGTCTCTGCCTGGTCTCCGCCCCTGTGTTCCATCTCCTGAGCCAGCCCCGTTCCGTCATCAACTCCGCCTGTCTCCTTGGGTTTCACCCCGCCCACAGAGTGGGGCGGCTGGGCCATTTCCTGCCTCCCTTCATTCTTCCTGGCCGTCAGCAGAGTCACATCCGCTGCCTGCGCACCTACTTCCACCGCTGCTGTGCCCGCGCGTCCTGGTCTGCTCGGCCCGGCAACGCCCAGCGGTCGGCTGGTGCTCGCTACCACAGCCTGCTCCGCTGCAGTATCCGCCGCTTTTTTCTCGGTGGACATACTTTGCAAGGTATGTAAAATATTTTTCCAAGCCGAGTCCCACAGCAGCTGCCCCAGTTCTTGCCACTCCGTCTCGCTAAAGATGAGTGAGGGCTTCTGTAATTTTCCCTTGTTTCTGGCCCACAGAAGCAACTCTAATTCAGTCCCCTTTAGCTTGTCCCCTCTCTTGGAGAGAATATACAAAGGGAGCTGCCGCGCTGCTTTCCAGTCGCTATCCATGTTTACTTTCTCTCTCTTTGCATGCGGCTCACCTGCCAACCAGTGCGAGGCGCTCCTAGCATTCACTCGAGCCAGCAGCGACACTCGCTCCAGCCCCTCGCTCCGCCTCGTCCACTCGCGCCGCGCAGGCGATGCGTGAACCGCGGAGTCTTCTGTTGTGATCCTGCGTTTCCCGTAGCAAGCAAGCGATTTGGAAACCCTTCTCCCGTCACAGCCAGCACAATTTGCAGTCTGGAGTCTTCGATGCTCCGGAACCCTGATCCCCCTCACTAAAAAGCGATTTGGTATCGTGATCCCCGTTGCAGTAGAAGCGATTTGGGATCTGAGTCACCCGTTGCGTGTCTTCCCCTCACGCCATTCGGAGACCACCCCCTGTCGCCACTGGGGTGATTTGGGAGCTCATCGGAGTCTTCCAAATCCCTTGTTTGGGTGCCAAAAGAAGCATGGGACTTCTTATAAAATAGGCAATGCTGAACAGGACAAACGCAGATCAAGCCAATATGGTTAATGCTACATTCTCCAATTATTGTTTATAAGATGGCAGTTTATACACACTTCAATATAGTTTACAAATTGTGAGCATACTATCATTGGCCAGCAAACATTGTTTGTCTTTGTCTTAAGGTTGCTAAAGTTTCACGCTGCAGACCTATACTAATTCACACTCAGAAAGCTCATTACTTTGTAGTCACACCTGAACATAATTTCTAACTGAACCACAGACTAATTCCTACCTGCGTCATCGGTTTCAAAGGCCTTGCCAAAGCCCATATCTGAGGCCTAGGCTGGGGGTAGCTCAACCTTCACTCTAAATATAAATCATGTCCTCTCTCTCTCAGAAATCTTGCTACAGGGAAAAAACTGAGAGCCTGAAGACATCTGGAAGTTTGCCAGCAGAGGAGAAGGGGAGGGAAGGGAAGGTGCCCAGCGTGGGAGATGGAGTCCTGGGCCAAGATTTCAGCCATCTGGGGAGTCCAGGATTTTTAACCCCTTCCTGGCGAGACAGAGTGAAAATTTAACAGGGTAGAAATCCATTTAGATTTAAGTGAAATGTGCCACTTTGAGCTTGCTAAATATGCTGCTTAGTCTGGTGACTGCAGGCCTAGCAAAACTACCCCAGCTAAGGAGAAAGAATGCAAATTTCCACACTAAAAGATAAAAGATAAGAAAGACTCCTCAGACCTTGAAATGGACAGGGCAGAGCGACCCAGGAGTTCTTTCTGTACTTTCTGACAAAAACTGAGTACAAGTGTAACTAACTGTAAGTGTAATGTGAAATCAGCAGAATGAATATGCATTAACCTATTGTGAAATTCTATGCCTATGGAAATTAGTAAGGGTAATAAAAAAAGATTGGGAGTTTTCAGAGGCACGCATGTCCATTAAAGGGCAATGAGTCCCGGCATGCGTCCACAGCGCTATGAATAAACATACCCATTCCCTACAAATCTTTATTAGAATTGTGGAGTTTAATTTTTCATCCACGTTTCACTGGGGAATGAAGGCTTTGTGAAATATTACTCCTCCTCGATTTGAAGGAAAGAGAGACAGCCTGGGACCTGAGATGTTAGGAAAAGAAGGTTGGGGGGAGATGATGTAGTGGCTTCTGGCTGGACTTTTCTTGTTAGCCATAGACTGAACCAATTTCTCCTCCAAGAGAGACTGTATTTTAGGGGGATGCATGGTGACCCAAGAGACCTGCTTCAGCAACTACCAGTACAAGAACAGAGTGAACACAGAAGAGCTGTGGAGGGTGTGATGATGCCCTCTCTCTTCAGAGAAGAAGAAGATCTCTGTTCTTGGACCCTCGGCCCCAGGGGAAAATGGGGGGAACAGTGGTCCCAAAATGAGACACTGGACTGTTGTTCCTTTTGGTCCTTGGCAAAGCATCCTTAAAGGAGCCCTATGAGCCGTCTGTCCATGCACAGTGGTGAGAGCACTGTGCATGGAAAGGAGAGGGTCACGCTGGCAGATTTTCTCTGGGTGGTGCCATGTGTGACATGGAAACACAAGAAGTGGCAGCTGTGTTTCCTGGGGGTCTATGGTGCAAGGGAGACTCCTCTCTCCCCTGATGGACTTGGTATTGATTATATTGAAGGGTGAAAACTGGATTAAGGGTCCAAGTTGTGTCTCACTGTGGTTTGTTGGAGTTGGGTGGTGGGAGGAGGAATGTTTTGAAAGGTTTTCATTCTGGATTTTTTGTGTGTTTTTCTTTCTTTTTTTCCTTTTATAGTTATATAGTAGTAGTCGCTTAATAAAGTTTTTTTTCCCTTGTTATTAAGCTTGGCCTGCTTTGCTCTGTTCTCAATCACATTTCACAGCATTCAATTGAGAGGTTGCATTTTCATGGGGGCACTGGCATTATACCAGTGTCAAACCATGACACTAGCACAAAATTTAAACAGATGGATATTAAATGCCATTTCAGTATCTTGCTAGAAATATTATTTGTACTTTTAAGAAAAGTCTAGAATACAATTTTCTTTGTAGAAATGGCACATATCCAAATTCTACAATGAGATGTTTAGAGAGGAAACACTGTAAACCAGCTTTTTTCTGCTGTCATCAGTAGTTTATTCAGCTTATGTAATTTACATTTCCATTCCCCTTCCAAGATACTCAGACACTGCATAAGGTAGCAAAAATTCAAAAACAAAGTATAGCTGATGGATTTTAGGAAGAAACTAACTGTTTTTTTTTTTTTTTTACTTTAGTAGTATTTTATATTTTGATGACAGCTTAAAAACTGGTGGATATGATTGTGATGTTAATTTGGTGGATTTGGCTGGAATGCATGCCTCTCTCAAAGCTTTTCAAGTGATCCAGCCTTGTGTGTGATAGGCATTAAAAAAAAACTTTTTTTCTTTTAACCTAAGACAGTGCCTGTTTTAGGCTCCAAATAGAATGCACAAAACCCTTGTAAGATAGCTTGTTTGAAAGACTTTTATATTCCATTATAGTTTTTGTGATAAATGGAATAGGATCCCAAGAACTTGTCTGCTTGTGTCTTCTCAGGTATTTTCCAGGGATTTGCAAATACTTTCCTTTTGGACAGCTGCAGGTAAATTTGCAGATGCATTTGTTAATAGCATATCAGCCAATCTATTATAAAACTCTCAGAGACAGAATACATTTTCCATATTTACTTTGCTTATATAAAATTAATGAGGAAGAGAAGAAAGTTAAAACAGTTGACCCCTTTGTGGAGACCCTCTATAATTCCTGCCAGTATTTTGCAGGAGGGAATATAGTTTTCATTAAATCTTCTGTTTCTGAAAGTACCGGTCCTTTGCATTGCACTGACAGTCAACTATCTACATTGTGTGCATTTAAAAAGTATAGGTCTATTAGGGAAAAATCCCTATATATTTATGATCTGAATGAGGAGATTGAGTGCACCCTCAGAAAGTTTGCAGGCACCACCGAGTGGGAGTGTTGATCTGCTGCAGGGCAGGAGGGTTCTTCAGAGGGATTTGGACAGGCTGGATTGATGGGCCAAGGCAAATTGTATGAGGTTCAACAAAGTCGTGTACTAGGCCCCACATTTGAGTCATACAACCCCCTGCAACACTACAGGCTTGCGAAATAGTGTCTGGAAAGCTAACCAGCAGAACCTCAGGGCCTTCTAGAAGTTTACAATAGAAATAAAATCTGTATAATTTGTACATAAACATGAACTAAAGCAGATGTTACTATTTAGTGGTTTTATATGTGTATCACTAGCCAAAAGATATAGTCATCTGAAAAGAACAGCTTTAGTAAAAAAAGTATCTAGCCTAGTTAATTGGCAATATATTTTACAAGCAATAAATAAATCAACTTTATAATCAATTTCAGCAGTAGATTTTCTCATTATTTCTAGGCTCTCATGATATTTAAAAACCTGACCTGAATTTAAATTGCCTATATAAATAGAATCCTTGTTGCTGGTTTCAATAGATATATAATACTAAACTCAATTTTTTCCTATTCTTTCTCTAAAGCTGCAGTTACTGAGGCAGATTAAATATACAAAACATTTTATTGAAAGGTAGTTTATCTACTCGGAAACCTTACATCACCTTGAAAGGGGTAAAATGTATCAGCAAAGGATGGAAGAATTTGGCTAACTTCCCTGACCACTGTTGTAACAAAATGTGGTCCCCTATCTAATGACATTCCCAAAGGAACCCTAAACCTTGGAATTATATGATTGAGCAAAATTTTCACTACCTCCTTTGCTGCGTTAGTGTGACAGGGGTAAGCTTCAGGCCATCAACTGAAGGTGTCAACCAATACCAATACATACCTGTATCCTTCTTTGCATGGTAACTCAGAAAAATCTATATGCCAATAATCACTAGGGAGATGCCCTGCTTTTGTTATCCCTAACACAACCCTTTTGCTCATGTTGGGGTTGTTTCTACAACAGATTTCACACTTGCTTGTTATAGATTGTACAATATCAGTCATTCCTCTCCCTATCACTACCTTCCTCAGAGGTTTCAAAAGATTTTCTGTTCCCAATGAGTACTTTCATGCTCTTGCTGTGCTATTTCTCAAAGGAGCAGGGGTGGAACTACAACTTGGCTCACTAGGGTGACTGTGGGAATCCAGGGCATCCCTCTGGTTGCCCTGAAAGGTCTGGGACACTGGCAAGGGGGTCAGGAACCCCCCTGTACAGAGCCCCGAGAGATACTGTCTCTGATCTCTGTCCATGAAAAAGAGTTTTCAATCTTACAGGATGAATTACAAGCTCTGAGTGTTTGATATAAGTAATAATTAGTGTGGCACGGGTGCAAAAGTAGAATTTAAGGATTCTAGATAAGGGGTTCAAAGGGGACAAGATGGAGGAAATTGGGTGTGTCTTGTCTTCTTCATGCCATCCATGTTTCATTGTAGTGTTGGAATTTTTCTATTGGTTTAGTGTGGAGTTGTGTTTTTTATGTTTTATTACATTTGTATTATGTATAGGTTTGTTCCATGTACCCCCAGTTCTGTAACGGTTCTCCTCGGGTTTTCCCGTCTTTCCCCGCGTGTCCGTTGTCCCCAAAAATGCTAAGTCATTCCCCCTGTTTACCCCAGATGCCTGTCTGTCACTCGGTGTCCCTTCCCCTCCACCTAGAATCTTCCACCCGGGACGCTGGGTGATAGGTAGAGGACCTGGGACCCTTCCCCTGTCTGTCCTTCATTGGATGTACCCCTTTATCCCACCACCCTCGAACCCCCCATGGCTCTACCCCATTGGCTGCCCGGTTTTCCCCCGTTCCATATTTAGTTCGTTCACACGGCGCGCTCCGCACTTTTTGTGGCTGGCTCCAGCGCGCTCCGCCCTGCCCGCGCCGCTCCGGCAAACGCAGGCACGGCACGCCTGGTCCCCTTCGAATTATTGTATTCCCCGTTGGATTACAATAAACGGAATTCACCCCCCGGAGAAAGACCCTCTTCATAAATCGCCGTGGGGTCGTTGATTGCTCTCCGAACTCCGATAGCGCTTCCTAAAGCCCTGTGAGGGTCCAGCGGGAAGTGCTAGAAACCTGCCCGCCCCTTCTCCCCAGAGCTAGCCGGGGCAAGGGAAAGGCATCGGGGAGAAGAGCACTTTGGCAGTTTAGACTGGGGACACACTGTTCAACGTAGATGATAGATATTGGCACTTTATTGTAAATATAGCACACGTAGTTTCTGGTATATAATGTTTGTAAAATTCCACTGGGGGCAGAGCCCCGCACGCTGTCCTGCAAGACAGACAGAGACTTTCTACAATCTTGGGATCATTTAAATATCACAGATTCTGACAGGTGACAACTCACCTGCTTTCTTTAATTTCAGCCTTAAGGAACATAATTAGCTTGTGGTCTTCCTGATCTTATTTTGGAGTAAACTCTGACAGATCTATTTCTTTTTGTGGTACCACTGCAAGAATGACTTTTCCTGTGTGAAAAACGCCAATCAATTGTTTTAAATTTTTAAAAGTTTAATAGTAATAAAATAGTTATAAAAATAGTAAAAAAACCCTAGAGCAATAAGAATTTGGACCGAGTTAGGAAAATAAAGGACAATAAAAAGCGAAGAATTGCAGACGTCCGGATACTCCTGTTGCATATTAATATATCTCATACATTCTTAAAAAATTGTTTTTCAAACAAAGTATGTATTCTGCTTAGTTTCTGCGCCCCCCCCCCCCCCTTCATCTTTGTAAATCAATTTCTTGGCTCCTAGAAGTCTGGAAGAAGTCTGAACAGTCCAGATAAGGAGGCAATAAATCTCTGGATTTTGCTGTCTTGTTGCTGTTATCTGTATGTGAATAATTTCTTGGTTATCTATTCCTTGAGCTAATTACAAAAAGCATCTTAGATCACCATAGTTTTTATTTTAATATTATGCTACAGCTTAAAAACTATATTTACCACACTACTTAAAAGATATTAATACAGCATAACTTTCCAACATAACACATATACTATTCACT